TTTTTTTTTTTTTTTTTTTTTTTTTTTTTTCTGCTTCAGCGGTGAATGTTTAGAAATCTGTGAAACCCGTCATACACCTTTCCCCTGCTCTTTGCATGTCATACTGTATCCTGCCCTCCACATATTTCTTTCCTTTCCGTTGCCCCTACCTCCCCTGCCCCGTACTCCTAGAGAACTCCGCCTTCTACCCCTTACCCTCCACCCTCCCCTCCACTCCCTTTGTGTTACTAACAAATACATATGAATGAGCATCATTAAGAGTGTAGACGATATGAAGATCAGAAATGAAAGGAACGGAAGTATGAAGATGAAGGAAGGACACAAAGACTGTATAAGCTGAAGATCTGAAGTGAAATGAACAGGAGTATGAAGCTCTGAAGAGATGCACAGGAGCATACCTTCCCTTTTACTCTGCCTCCTGAAATAACGTGCAAGTGGGCCGTGAAGGCACACGGGGATGTGGGCAGCTGGCGCTCAACCACAATCAACGTGGGCAGCCTTGTGCGTAAGAGGCACAGCAAAAGGGGAGCTGCAAGAACAATGAAAGGGGTACCCCAAGGACAACCAAAAAACTGTCTAATTATAAAAAATTGCTTTAATATGTTGGACATCTCAAATGCTCTCATTGTCTGCAATAGGACAAAGACTGCTTGGATTCTGAATCTATTCACCTGGGTGGAATTGGGGCTGTTGTGGGGACAATCTAAAACACACACACACACACACACACACACGCACACACACGCACACACACAGAGGGTATCCCAAGGACAACCAAAAAACTGTCTAATTATAAAATTGCTTTAATATGTTGGACTGTGACTGTTTCATCTCAAATGCTCTCGTTGTCTGCAATAGGACAAAGACTGCTTTGATTCTGAATCTATTCATCTGGGTGGAATTGGGGCTGTTGTGAGGAAAATCTATAACACACGCGCGCACGCAAACATGCACACACTCACACACACAAAGAGAGAGAGAGAGAGAGAGAGAGAGAGAGAGAGAGAGAGAGAGAGAGAGAGAGAGAGAGAGAGAGAGAGAGAGAGAGAGGACATGCGATTTGGTTTCTTGTGAACAAACTCCGGTACACATATTTTTCTTATGATGGAATCTGTCGTGTTCACATTTTTTCTCGTGTGGCCAATGCCTGCAATGGTGCGGGCAGCAAGCTAGTGAGAATGGATCCTACTCAAGAAGCTAGTATGTTCAAGGGGGGGAACGTAACAATATGCTGCTCAATCTTACTGCTATACTGTGCTATTGCTATTCCTCTGATACAATTGGCGAATCGGGCTGGGTTACGGGGTATTCATTCAGCCTTCGAGCTTTCAGAGTTATATTGAAATAAATCAGTTCATACTCCCTGCGACAAAGTAAGACTCTTACAAAAGTCTGAAAAAATGTGAACCGTGGAGGTGGAAGGAGTGGGGGCGTGCTGGGGGAGAAGGGAGAAGGAAGGTGGGAATGAAGGGGAAAGGAGGAACTGTAAACAAGAAGTTGGAAAGCAGGATGAACCATCCAAGAACTTGTTGACAAGATTTTTTTTTTTTTTTTTGGAACATTTCTCGATTTGAGTGTGTCATCCTTGCGCAGGGGCCATGCTAATCTTCTCTGTATCGTTCCAATTTTACCGGATGTCCCATAGGACACTCGTTGACAAGATTTCACTTTTCAACATTGCAAAATATTTAATGCCCTGGTTTGGTGTTCTCGCACACGCATTTTGTGAACACAGGTTTCGGAAAAACTATCCAAAAAATGAGATCATAGAAGAAAATAAAGCAGCACTGAAAGCGAAGTATTCCGAGGCAAAGCAGCTTGGAGAGGAAGTAAACGCATCGCGCGAGGTATTTTCCATGCTGCATCCACAAAATTGCATATCCTTTTTCAACCCTCCTCCTTTCCCCTCCTCAACACTCCCTGAGTTTATTGTTGCTTGGTCTTTCTGGTCAGAGCAATGCCACTGGCAGGCCACTCACAGCCAGGCATTACTAATGGTCGATATCTGGTCAACTACATCATCCGGACTAGACCTGGACCTGTGTCTGGATGCCACCTGGACATCCATATCTGATCTGGAGAAGGCGAGGGGGTGCTCCAAGAAATATATCTGTTTTCTAACTTTTCTTATGAACCCTTTCGGCAATTCGGATTTTTTCCCCTTCAGACTTGGTAGCTGTCGGTATTGAAATGCTCCACAACATGTTTCTTTTCCAGAGTTTTTTCACATTTTTAGATTTTTTGAAGTTTTTCCAACTTTTTTCAAGTTTTTTGAGATATTTGCAATCAGAGTTGTCTTTCTCGACACTCAGCATGCGTACAAACAGATGACGATCAAACAGGCGACTTGCGCCCACACAAATCTCAGAGATAATGAAGCCAAGAACGCAGCTCAGATTCAAACTTGTCTTGGTCGGATATGACCGACCTCTGCACTCTCAACGACTTGTTTGTACACACACCCGGGATCTCCCGGTGCCATCACCCACCACATCCTCTCCTAGCATGTCCCACATGCGGTGTTGGTCATACACCTACGGCAACTGCAGAGGGTTCCTCCTCTTCCTAGCCAGACGTGCGACACACAGAGCAGCCCGAGGAGGAAAATGGGCCTCTATATGAGCCAGCTTCAGAGCGGGGTACTGATCGCTTATCACCATCAAGGCGAGCTGTTGTGGACCAAATCCTGCAGCAGCTGAACGCCCTTGCTTTGGACCGACCCTCCCTGTCGTCGTCTGCCCATACAGAAGGAATAAATACTGAGGAAACCCAAGAAACATGCTCTATGCCGCTATGTGATGACCCGCTGGAGATTCAACTAGCGTGTGGTTCACATGCTTTGTGCCGTGAGGATTATGAAGGAATAGTCCATGCGAGTTTCTGCTTTCATACCTACGACGACAGTCAGCACTGTACTCATGTATGGCACCCTGACATGTCATGTCCAATTTGTAGACAGGGGCTAGAACGGCAGTGCCTCTATAATTGTGGTCGACGTGCCTCTGTGTTCCTAGCATGTAGGAGCCACGTTGCCTGTGACATCTGTCTGCGCCGTGCCATTCGATGCAGCAACTGTGACTGCGAAAACTGGATGCGGTGCGTCCACAGTCCACACCCGAACCGGTCCTGTCCGGTCTGTAGGGATGGTCACTTACCATAGGCAATAACTGCTCCTTGA